ATGCGGGCATACAGAGCCCAGTGTGATTCAAGCTACCAGGTCTGGACTCCCATTAAGGTCCAACCCCATGTCAGTCATGGAGTCCAGCAATGTAACCACTATGCCATCTGCTGGCCCCAAAATAAATATGTTTTAAGAAACTAGAGTCCGGGTACTTTGTATATCAGGCAGCTTTTTATCCTTAAGAAAATTTGTATAAGGATAAAATTATTAACGGTAGAAGACATTGGAAGTTAGAATATAACGGGTGCCTCTGCAAGAAGGTTTTATTTTCACAAGACACTCTGGACAATTAAACACAGTCACATATTGCCTAACAAGGGCATACGTTTTAAGAAATGTATTGTTAGGCAACTTTAAAAGTGTGTAAACATCAGAGGATACTCACACAAATCTAGACGGTATAGCCTAATATGCACTTAGGCTATACGGTAGAACTTTTGTTGTTATAGTTTAAAGAAGAACTGAGTTTCATAAAGCCCCCCACTGAAAGGTTAAGAGCCCCAATTTTTTCTTTTTTTTTTAATTGCTGGAGGGCACATGTACTCAACAGAACACACCCTCAGTGGGGCGTGGTATGCCATATCCCTTCTCCATTTCTCTACCCCATTAGGATTCCGGGCATGCATGTACACACTCCAGCAGTAGTTTTCAAGCCTATGGGGTAGTATTTGAATCATGGCTGGTCATGTGGAATTTGGCTTTCTTGCACAGCAATTAACTCTGGCTCTACGGGTTCAGTTGTATGTATGATCTCAGGGGATGACCACATATACGTGGTCCATCATCAACAGAAGCACTGCTAAGTAGCACATGACTGTATTAAAATGAGTCTGTCATATAACTATTTTTTTTTTTAGGGTTTTGTTTGTTTTTACTAAATAGTACATGTGCTTGCCAGAGAAAAAGAAAAAGTGAGAAATCACCCCCTCTGGGGGGTATGTGGCCACATCATAATCCCTTCTTCTCCATTTTCCTCATGGGATTTTGGGCAAGCATACACATATGCCAGCAGTGATTTTCAAGATGCCAGGTCTGGGACTCGAACTGCATAGTTGGCTGTGCAGGATCCTGCACTTTAACCATGCTGGTCCATATAGCTTTCTAAAAGAAAAAGCTATACAAATTCTGAAACAAAGATTCTTGTCAAACAAATCCCAGCTGTGAGTACCAACATCCCAAAGACAATTCAACAAATATTTATAAAGCTTAGCCAATGTGATGAAAACTATGGCCTCTTCCTCACCAAAACACACATACAAAACCCAATTTTATACATAATTTCAGACAGTTATAGGACCTCTCAAATATATCCCTGACTCACACTGAAGAGGTAATATTAGTTATTAAGAATCACAAAAATGATGTTTCGCATTATTCAAATAGGTAATAGGGTTATGACACAGTACAAAAATGTATGTTCAGGTGGAGGGGATAAGAAATCAATCTCTCTCATATACACACACAGCATTACTACAAGTGCCGACAAGAACTCAATGTTGCTCCAAGAAATTACAAAAAGTGTAAATAAAAATTAATAATGGGGGTAGATGGAGTAATGGTTACATCGCTGGACTCCCACGTAGTAAACCACGACGGTTTGAGTCCCAGACCTCCGTGGCTTAAAACTCACACTGGGCATGTGTGACTGTGTGCCTAAAATCCCGAGAGGAATATGGAGAAGAGATTGTGATGTGGTCACGATCCCCCCAAGAAATGACTTCTTGCTTTTTGTCTCTCTGTTTCTCTGGCAAGCACACTCATCCTATAGCAAAAATCTTTCTCTTAAAAAAAAAAAAAAGAAAAAAAGAACGCCAAAAAAAAAAAATTGAGAATAGTTTCCCTGGGCCAACTACATGGTGTAGTGGTGAATGGTGGCTGGATCCCACTGGCCAACTATAGGGTTCAAGTTCTGGTGGCTTGTTAATTGGCAAAGCATGGGTACGTGCATGACCCCAAATCCCAAGATGAGAACAGAGAAGGGATTGTGGCATGGTCAACTCCTTGGGGGCTGCATTCTCACTTTACCACTCTCTCTTTTTCTCGCTCTCTCTGTGTCTGTCTTTCTTTAGGGAGCACATGAGCCCCACAGCAAATTAAAAAAACAACAAAAAAAGGGCTATCAGGTGGCATGGTGGTTAAGGCACTGGATTCTCACACGGCAGATGGTAGTTCAAGTCAGGATCCATTGGCTTGAGAATAACACAGGGTGTGTGTGCATGAGTGTCCAAAATCCTGAGAGGAGAATGGAGAATGGACTGCAATGTGGCCATGTCCCTGGGGAGTGATTTCTCACTTTCCTTCTCTGTCTCTCTTTAGCAAGCATACAAGCTCTATGGAAGAAAAAAGAGAAAACCCTTAAAAATAAAGGTGTCCTTAAAAAAGTGACAAACAGAGTAAATATTAAATGGAGTACCGAAAGGATAAATTTCAGTTTTGTAAAGGTACAAAGACTGTGTGATGGCCATGCTATAAGGTGGAGGAAAGCCAGTGCAGCTGAAGTACAGAGATGCAGGGTGAGAGTGGGACAGGTCGAACACCCCTAATTCAAATCATCTGACTGCTCTAAAATCTGAAACTCTGCGCACCAGCATGACTCCACAAATATAAAATTCTATACCTGACTTCTCATGACAGGTCACAATCACTGCAACACAACAAACACTGTATAAATTACCTCCAGGCTACATGCATAAGGTGTTTATTTATTTTATTTTTTGGAGAGGTTTTGCTATAGGGCGCGTGCGCTTGCCAGACAGAGAAAGACAGAGAGACAGAAAGCAAGAAATCACCCCCCATGGGGGATGGCCACGCCACAATCCCTTCTCCTCCATTTTCCTCTCAGGATCTT